AGCTGCCATGTTGTGGCCATATACTACCACACTGTGGCGACCTTAAATGAACCCTGAATTTTTTTGAAGTGTCACGTTATGGGGCCTTTACCATGCCGTGGCAACCTTGAAATGCTTAAAAATATTGGAAATCGAATTACCTCGGGATCCTAATGTTACAATTATCCCCCACGTAAATCAGACTTTGTCCTCACAGTTCAACACTTCGAATAACTTAGGGTAGTGCCTAAGTGCATTCGGAACCCTTCTGATGCTGCTATTGAACCTTGACCAATAGGATCACCTTGTTACGCAAGGCCTTCGACCTCCTATCCAGAATCGCCACTGGTTTTCAATATAGTTTAGGCGCTCATCGATCTGAATATCGTCCAATGGAGCTGCTGCTAAATGATCATCTACACACTTCCGTAGCTAAGAAACATGAAAGTGGTTGTGAATATGTCTGAGCTCCTCCGGTAGATCCAACAGATAAACTACCCTACCTACCCTAGCTAATACTCGAAATAACCCAATATATCGGGGTCCCAACTTTCCCCTCTTCCTAAAGCGTATTACACCCTTCCAAGTCGATTCCTTCATTAAAACCACGTCGCCGACCTGGAATTCCAACTCGGATCGACGACTGTCGGTGTAACTCTTCTGCTTCTAAATTTCCTTCTTGACTCCCTCGACTTGAACCTATTTGATTAGGTCCAAAAGCGGAGAATCGATATAAATCCTCATGCACACGCTCCCAATAGAAGAACTAGTCGACTTGCGACTCAAAGCATCAACGACCACATTTGCTTTCCCCGGGTGGTAAAGAATCTCACAGTTATAATTCGTGACCATGTCAAGCCATCTTCGCTACTCATATTCAGATTCAGATGATCCATGAGATATCTCAAACTCTTGTGATTCATGTATATGGTACACCAGACCCCATAAAGATAATGCCGCCAAATCTTGAGGGCGTACACCACCACCCCCAATTCGAGATCATGTATAGGATATTGTACCTCATGTAACTTTATATGTCTAGAATCATACACAATAACCCTCCTACGATGCATAAGTACAGCCCAAAAACTGATGATTGAAGCATTACAATAAACAACAAAATCCTCCACACCCTCTGGGAGGGTCAATACCGGGGCCTCACATAATTTATGCCACAACATCTCGAATGCAGTTCGTTGCTCGGGACCCTAGTGAAAATACACACCCTTCTTCATCAAACGAGTGAGAGGCACATCAACATTGGAGAAATCCTGAATGAACCTCTGATAATACCTTGCTAAAATCAAGAAACTCTGGATCTCTAAATGTGTCTTCAGGACCTCCTACTGCATGACTACCTCAATATTGGGCGGGTCGACCAAAATCTCGTACTGGTTAACGAGGTTTCCAAGAACCGGACCTCCCGTAGCCAAAACTCATACTTTGAGAACTTTGTATAAAGCCTCTCCCATCTCAAAACTCCAACAAGCTCTCGAAGGTGCTCCTCATGCTGCTCCCTGGTCTTGTAATAGACCATGAACTCATCGATAAAAACAATGACTGAATGATCAAGCATCATCCTGCACATCGATTCATCAAATCCATAAAATGCCATCGGTGTGTTGGTGAGGCCAAACAGAATCACCACGAACTCGTAATGTCCATAACAAGTTTTGAACGTTGTCTTCTCTACGTCCTCCTCTCTAACTCTTATCTGATGATACCCTGAACTCAAATTGATCTTTGAGAACCAAGATGCACCATGCAACTCATCGAAGAGATCATGAATCCGTGGAAGTGGGTAATGGTTCTTTACCATCAACTTGTTCAACTCCCAATAATCAATAAAAATGCAGTGAGACCCATCCTTCTAATGGGTTTTGAGAAAAACAACAATTCATGTGTGTGCATGCAACCCTAATGCTTTGGATCTAGGTTTTCTCTAATTGAACATGAAAACTTGAGCACAAAAGGATAAACCCTAGGAAGTTTATACTATTTTCGAAATTCATATAAAACTAGGGTTAGGTTACATACATTGATTGTTATATTGTAATAACAATGATTATCTTGTAGATCTTGAAGCTTGAGAACTTAGTGTCACGAGTGTAACACCTATAATGGATCAAAAACACACTATGCAGGAGAATGATATGAGAGAGGAGGACATCAAATTTTCGGCTATTGCTTCTTCCAAAGAGTGGCTGAAAATTATAGCCTTAAGGGTTCTTTTTATTGTGCACCAACGATGCTATGGATAACCTAATCTCAAATATGGTAATTATCCACCTCATTTGATTATCCATATATGATAAGATATTCTAGAAACTCTAGAATAATCTTACATATACACATTAAAAACCGTCCACCCTTCCCATACGAACGTTTTGAACCCTTTTTTTCAACTATTGAACAATTTCACTTTTAGTCCATGCACTTTTAATTAATTCCTTTAATCCCAAAATTTGTTCCAAATTAATTTCTGATTAAATATTAACTAATAACATGATTACTAATTAATATATTATTTACATAAAATATTAATAAATCATTTATTCCAATTTATTAATCAATTAATAAATTCTTCCTCTTCCTCAATTAATCATCTTGTCTAGTTCCACATGTGAAGGCAACCCAAAAGAACCATGCCACTATCAATTCAAGTACATACCGATTATACTGATAGGCTTAGACACTTAATCCAATAGTCTCCCACTTGGATAAGTCTAATAACTATAATTGCAAGTATGACTTCAAAAACTGATAAGCAATCGTAGTTGTCATAGCTTTTTATCGAACTCTGACCTAGTCAGTTGCGTGTCCTAAGATAAGGGATTATACAATCCTCTGTTCTGCAAGATATCATTTGAACAAATGACATGAAACAAAATCATTCTCATTGTACAACAGTTTGTTCCCAAATTTCTTATTTGTAATGACAAAGAACATAATCGAACACATCAATTCAGTCCTAACCAGGCCGACACATAAGCAACACCAAATCATCAAGGGGCCCAAGATATCACTTTTCCCCCTTAGGGGAACAGATAAACTTTGACTCATATGCTTGTACTGTTTACTCATCAAATCATGCACAACAATATGTTTTATAACACCAAGTTACTGATGCGTTTACGCATGATCAATGCACAACCAACTTGTAAACAACAACTCATTAGTACTAGAAAACAACCCTTTAATGACGCGCAAACAATGATACTCGCTGATAGAGGACGCGCATTTGTGTGTGCCCTAAAAAATAATGTCAGTTTTGCAAAATTTGAAGGATAGAGGGCACGCATTTGTGCGTGCCCTAAAAATAGTGTCCAACAAAAAAAATTAAAAACACGGAGGGCACCTATCATAAAAAAGCATGTCGTCTAAAACTGTCGCTTTATATTTTTCTTTAAGAAGGCACGTTTTCTTGGGCGGGGGGGGGGGGGGGGGGGAGGGGGAGGAATAAAATACCAAAAACAGCCCGCCGATGCATCTCCTTCTTCTTCTTATTAAATCCTCTACCAAAAATCCCTAATAATCCTTTAAGCAGTTCGTCTTCCTCTGTGTGTATGTGTGTGTGTGTGCAAGCCCTAAGCTGCTGCCACCACCATCTTCGAACCTCATAATCTTTAAGAGTTTGAAGTGCCTAACCTCTTCCTTCCGGAAACCTTGAGCCCACCTCACCTCACCTAACCGAGACTGCAAAGACTGCTCAAGTTTACAAGCATTTGTTTAAGAGCCAACCATTTACGGATCCTCATGCTCAGAAGACTACGATTTAGTGCTCGTTACATTGTGTCTGTGTCATACTTACAAGGAGATTTAGGGTTTTGGCAACTTCTCCCTATCGCCATCTATGAACTAATGAAGCCATAGATAGGTACGATTCAAGCGTCGTGTAAGGTACAGGTGGTCGTTCCTCCTCCACAATCGATGTATGCACATAATATGAGGTAGAAAGGTCAGTTCTGGGGTTCCCCACTTCACCTCCCTTCTACAATAATCCATTTTGAATCGGAAACTTTTCATTGTTATTTTAGATTTAAGACTCACCTTTCATCAGAAATAAGAGGTAGAAAGGTCAGTTCTGGGGTTCCGAAACTATAAGGATGAAATTGGAGGTTGAAGATCAAAAATCGAAGATTGATTTAGGATTAGAAGTCGAAGGTTCATGGTCAGATTGGAGGCATTGAAAATCAGGAAAAAAAATGGAAGAGCCATCAGATTCGAATATTATTCTCTTCTTCTCCATGTATGTGCCCTAGGTTTCTTTCTCTTACATTATAATTTTCTTATTTTAATACGGGGCTCTATGCATTCTCATAAATTTTGAGATAGCAGGAGATCTATGAGAGATCCAATCCGACATTTAGTAAACAACTAAAAGGGATAGAAATACAGTCAGCAAGGGTTCAAAACTAGAGCATCATAGTTGAGCAGCGACTTAAACAACATCATTTTCCAAATACATTAAGCCATACCATAAGCGTTCCTAAGATTGTGTGGGAGTATGGGCGAGATCATATATAAATATAATACAGGGATTGAGTGTTTATTTATGGCAATCTAAAAGATGTTTTGGTTCTAGCTACATATGTAGAGAATGAGTTTTTGATTTTTTTTTTTGTGGGAAATGTAGAACTGCATAGTGTATACCAGGTGTTTGTAAAAATGCAAAACCATAAAGGAATTGAAAAACTAAACATCTACATGATTTCTTTCTATAAATATAGTTTTTTACAGGGCATAAAAGTTCAATGAAAATTTTGGATAAATATCAGTTTTTAGCTCTTTCTAATGTTGTTTCAACTAAAGGTAGATAATGGTGTTGTTCAGTTTTGCAGATAAGATAGAGAAGAGGATCCTTGATCTTGAATCTCAGCATATAACTTGCTGTTGGCACATACATGCATATAAACTTGTAAGAAGACCCTAGGTAACACCAAAGATAGATACACTATAAAGATATGCAATTGAAGATTTCATGTTATCTTGTTATTGTGCTATCTGTTTATATTTCTACAATGGTCTTGAAAAAAAAATTTACTACTTTTTACCTGGCAGCAGGTTTGTTGTTCTTTTTTCTTAAATGTCATAAATGATTAACTTGTTAAATATGATTACAATTTACAAAAAGTATTAAAATTAAAAGAGGGAGATTAGCTTCTCTCTATTACTTAATAAAATATAATTCATATTTATTCTTAATATCTCTCTGTTACTTAGAAATTTTCTTGGTTTACATGTGGTTGTAGAAACCCTACAAATATTACATGTGGTTATAGTCCTCGGGGAGCTGGACGACTTTTTCAACCAAAAATACATCTTAGGTAAAAGAAATTATATTTTTACCCTTTTCCCAAATGTTTTAGATATTTTTCAGTAAGCAAACCATTATACCCTTTTGTCCATCTAAAAAAACTATTTTCTCCAATTACCGGTTTTAGTATCTATGTAAAATAAAGAAAAGCACAACATGCTTTCATAAGTTTATTGATTTAGCCACTTGAATATGCATATTTGGCTTCCAAGTGGATGGAATTGAATTCCATATTTGTTTGATTTCACCCTTCCTAGGATGGGTGGAAGGAATTCAATTCCATTCTTCCGTTTTCATTGAAAACCAAAATTCCCTCATTAAAATTTATAAGTGGAAAGGATAATTTGTTCTTTCTTTTTCATGGTGAATTCCATTCCCTTCAGGTAACCAAATTTCTTTTATTTAAAAAACAAGAAAAAAACTTATAAGATAATAATTATTTTTAATTTTTAATGATGCATGTGTTGTAGCTATTGAAAAATCTCTATCATACAAACTGGAAGAGGCGTGTAGCGCGATGCCACTTTTCAAAACAAGCAGTGGCATCCTTATTCAGGAGGCACCCCCAGTATCCATTCCTCTGCATTGGCTAAATGCTAGAGACAGGTTATTATATTGAATTCCTTGATTCCAGGTATTAATATATTGGCCAAATATTAATGCCATGAACAACTGACCGATTCCAAGGTGGGTGTTAACATTAGCATAGCGGGCAGTCCCCATGATATTTTTATTTTCCCTGAAAAAAAATGCAAATTGAGTTCATGGTCAAAGATAAATGGGCAGGTCAGTCAGGTAGGGTTTGGGTCAAAGTGAGCTGAACCATTTTTAGTAATTCATAAAATACAAATTAAGACTTTGACTTTGCCAAAAGCCATTTTCCTGCATTTCTTTATTTGTCTCATTTTTGGGAGTTGCATATGCCATTTATGCTATTTCAAAAATAACAATATATATTATCAAAAGGGACCTGATGTCATTTTTCAACCCTTAATGTATTTCAGATTTTTAATTGTTTTAATTCTAGTTGTGTGTGACAACTATATTCACGTAACATAGCTAGAAGCAAAAGTCCTTATATTTATATATATTCAACATAACAATATACTTTGAAAGGTCCCTATTAACAATATAAAATTACACAAATGGTCGATGTCTAACAAAATTTAGAAAAGTGGTCTAGGGTTAACTTAAATTAAATATTAAACATGATTGAAAATTTACCATTTTAAGCTTGTATAACGAAACCCACATTTTATGTTCCAGATAACAAAATAAAATCCTACCCCAAAGTTCATAATAATCATTTTTAAACCCACACGATTAAACATTCTAAAACCATGGTAACCGTTTCAAATTGTGTTTTATGAATGGGAGTTTTGAAGACAATTAAGCAGGTTCCTACTACTTTAGATATTGTAATTACAGATTTTGGGTAAATCAAAGAAAAGAAAGATGATGGACTTGGGAATTTTTTTCAAGGATGGAGATATGTGCCTTGATTTACATTCAAACATTGACAATGGTCCTGTTGAGCTTTCTTGGTAGTTGGATTGGATGTTGTTGATTCAATCAAATCATATGATCATGTGATTCAATGTTCAGGTTATGAATCTGATGTCGAACTAAATGATTAATCTCATAGTGAATTAATTGAGTTGTTGGAAACAATTTAATGGTCAAGGACCTCATATACATTCATCATCATCTTTCTAGGAGAAAACAAGTGGTTTTTCATATTCATTAAGGTTCCTTATCTCCTCTCCTTTTTAACAGAGAGCTATTGTTGTGAGTATTGCCTTCTCTTTCATTCCTGCTTTGTTATTTGTTGCTATTATGAAGGTAGGCCACTCTCCGGTTGTATTTTTCACATAATTGACAAGGAGTTGTATCTATTCAAACTAGGCTTAGAGCAATGGTTGCAAGAGATGAGTTCAGAAGAAGCAGAAACATGGTTGCAACTATAGTTCAGGTACTATAGATGAATTATGTTTGTAAAGTATTTAAGAAAATGATTAGAAACAATGGTGAATTTGTACAGATTAGTTAGCTACTTGCAGGTTGATCTTGAATAAGCAAAGGGGCAATGGATTGTATTTTTTGTATCTAATTCACTTGTAAATTTGTTTTATCTTTCCATGGAACGATTATTTGTATGACATTAAATTTATGCAATGGATTCTATTTTTTGTATACGATATTTTATTTTCTATTATGAAACATTTAATACAAATTTAATTTGAAAATAAGTGAATCTATAAATAATATATTTTTTTTAAACATTTAAAATTATGATACGTAATAATGTGTGTCGTCTTCATTTATGACATGGCCTTTCTTGACAGGGGCTTTCTTGATACACATTGCATGTCATTAACACGCGCGTCGTAAGGTTACGACACGCGAATGCGTGTCGTCTGCCTTTATGACAGGGCCTTCCTTGATACGCATTGCGTGTCATAAATGTGCGTCGTAATTGCACGTTGTAAATGAGCGTCATAAATGCGTGTCGTCTCTCTTTATGACAGGGGCTTCCTTGACGCGCATTTGCGCGTCGTCTGAGCCTTTTACGACGCGTAATGAGCGTCGTAAAAGGCTGTTTTTCTAGTAGTGCATATATCTTGGTTTAAAGATTATATGATATTATCATCTCAGAATTACTCGTGATAAACTCCAAGTAATTCACTAAACGTGGGTTTAATCCGATACTAATATCCCCATTTCAAAAGCACTCATGAATGCTGCAGCAAACTATTGCTATGTCTAAACACTCAAACAATCTACAATCCAATTCATGACAGTCTTAATTCACTACTTACTTCCAGTATATGATCGACTATGGATGTTTGGAATAATTCAATTATTCGGGAAGTAAAACATGCAAAAGAAACACAAAGATAAACAATTAACAAAAGATTGTAAACGATAATCATAAATAAATCTCTATTATTTAATCATCAAATGTCAACTACATTTATTTGTTACAAGTTTCTAAATAACTATCTAATCACTAAAACTAATATCATCCTTTAGACCAATGCTCCTTGCATCTTGAACATGCTTAATCCTACTAAGACCCTTTGATAGGGGATCAACAGGATTCTCTTGCATGTTGATATCTCTTGATCTACCATGATCTCTTGGTTCCTTGGTCAAGGCAACAACTCCTTCATTATCGAAGAAAATTTCCATTGGCTCCTTAATGGCTGACACTACTCCAAGATCTCTAATGAAGTTCTTCAACCATATAACTGTTGGATTATGTGTCTAAGCCCATAACTGTATTTGGTATGTACTTGATTTGATTATGAGCATGGTCCTTTTGGGCTGCCTTCGCTCATACAACTTGAAAGGATGACAATTGGAGAGAGAGAGAGAGAGAGAGAGAGAGAGTAAGATTTATTATATGAATAATAAATTGGTACTTAAAATTATTTTATTAATATAATATAAGATTAATATATTATTTAGAAATCATATTGTTAATTGGTAATTAATCAGAAATTAATCTAGTATTAATTTTAGGATTAAAGAAACTTATTAATAATTGAGGGATTGTTCCGCAAATCATTGATAGTTGTAGATTTGGGTTAATCGAATCCATAGAGTGGAGTGGACGAAATCCTAAGGGGGGAGCTTAATAGATTTCATCCAAGGGGTGTAAGGAGGGAGTGTATAGGATGCTTGGTGCCTAAGTAAGGAATTAGGGTTTACACCTAAAACCCTAGCTGCCAAAGCTATTTAAAAGACCTCTACATAGGAAATCCCCCCATGCATATGATTCATACCCTGGCCCAAATTCCTTACCTCTTCAAGTCTTCCTTTGCATTGAGTGTTTGTGACTCCATTATCGGTGCAACACTTGGGGCACTAGGCTTCTAGAAGTCAAGATCAAGCAACGATTGTACTTATTATTACAATATAACAAGTGAGGTAATCATCTAACCCTAGTTTATATGTGAATTTCGAAAATTGTATGCTAGTCTTAGGGTTATTGCTTTGGAGTTTGTATTTGCATGCTCAATAGAGAAAAACTTAGATACAAAGCAATCAGGGTTGCATGATCACACAGGATTGTAGTTATGCTCAAAACCCATCAATAGCCTCCTTCGATGATTCGCTCATGAGAATATACTCTAATTCACAAGTAGAATCAACCATGGTCTCCTGCTTGGAACTTTTCCAAGTCACTGCTCCTCCATTAAGGGTAAACACCAAGCCAGATTGAGAACAAAGGTTGTCTCTGTCTGTCTGAAAGCTGGCATCACTATACCTAGTAACTATTAAGTCATCTCTGCCACCAAGCACAAGGACCCAGTCCTTAGTCCTTTGCAGATACTTAAGTATATTCTTAACAGCTATCTAATGAGCTTTACCTGGATTTCCCTGATATCGACTAACGATGATTAAAGCAAAAGCCACATCAAGACAAGTACATGTCATAACATACACGATCAATCCAATAGCGGAAGCACATGGGACTCGACTCATTTTTGATATCTCTGCATCGTTACTCGGACCTTGAGTCTTACTCAGCTTGGTATTACTTTGGATAGGTAACTCCCCATTCTTTGAATTCTCCATGCTAAAACGCTTTAGTACCTTATCCAAATACGTACTTTGACTAAGTCCAATTAGTCTTCTACTACTATTTCTCAAGATCCTTATTCCTAGAGTATAAGTAGCCTCTCTTAGATCCTTCATAGCGAAACATGTTCCATGCCATGACTTAGCTTCCTGCAAGGTTGGAATGTCATTTCCTGTAAGTAGTATGTCATCAACATACAATACCAGAAAAGTCACTATACTCCTACTAGCTTTGATATATACACAAGATTCATCCTTACTTCTAGAGAAACTAAACTCTTTGACTTTCTCATCAAAACAAAGATTCCATATGCGAGAAGCTTGTTTTGATCCATAGATTGATTTCTTAAGCTTACACACTCCATTAGGAAAATTAGAATCTACAAAACCCTATGCATAACTCATGTAAACATCCTCATCCAAATTTCCATTAAGGAAAGTGGTTTTGACATCCATCTGCCAAATTTCATAGTCATGAAACGTAGCTATGGCTAACATAACACTAATAGATTTAATCTTGGCCACCGGTGAGAATGTCTCACCATAGTCATGTAACGACCCAAAATTCAAGACCAAAATTTTTGTTTTATTTAAGTTATTACATAAAACTATCAGTATAAAACAGTCATGATACTATCTCATGTCAACCCAGTGTGTCATTAATTAAGCATTTCATCATAAAATAATATCATAGTGTAATCCCAAAGATCTCATGTGCGGAAAACATAGTATGATGCGCTGCGATCGAGCCGACTCCTTTCCTTTGAAAATGAAGTACCTGAAACCAAAACTGTAAACCGTAAGCACAAAGCTTAGTGAGTTCCCCAGAGCATACCATACACACAAACCACATATCAAATATCATGTTGCTATAACAACTACTTGTATCACAATTCCTGCTAGTTATAAAAGCTACATATAACACATAAGCCATGCATACAAAAACCTATAAGGATGTCGTGGGATCCTTCCAGGGTCTTACATCATTTTGCCATGGGCTACCCCACATGGTCAACCTACGAATGTCGTGGGCTACCCCCATGGTCTTATATCCAATGCCACGGGCTCCCTTCGAGGTCTTCAATGCAAGTATCATAAAGACAACTAGCATAACACATATCACATAAACATATCATATATCACAGAAATATCTACAAATAACACAAATAAACCTGTAAGGATGTCGTGGTCTCCCCCAGGGTCTTACACCATTGTATCACGGGCTACCCCGCATGGTCTTTACCTAGGAATGCCATGGGCTACCCCACATGGTCTTATATCCAATGCCATGAGCTCCCCTCCCCCCGGGTCTTCCATGCAATAACACATAATCACATAGCATATCAAATCACAGATGACTAACACATAAACCATAATCACATTCCTTGGTGCCTTAGACCCATGGGTATGGTGAGAAAACACACATAACACTGCTAAAGTCCCGCCGATAAAACTCCAGTTGCTGGATGACAGATTCCCAACTGTCAACATCAAACAATACCCAATTAATAATTAGGTTCCAAGCCTAAGGTCCAATTGTCCAAATCACACTCCAAAAGCCCAAAAGCCAAGTAATGGGCTAAAGCCCAACATATGGCTCAATTTTCCAAATTGGGCCCAAACATTTACAAGTCTTACCATAAGGCCCAACCATTTAGTCCAGTCCAACATTCGACATTCTAATGGCCCAATATCGCATAATCATGAAGGCCCAATTATGGCCCATCTATGGCCCAATTTGGACCAACTCCTCATATGGGCCTTGCCTTAAAGCCCAATAATTATTATAGTCCATTTGCTTGATCTTGGATGGCCCATTAATAACCCAATCATCAAGGCCTAATAAAAGGCCCAACAATAAACCCAAGTGAAATTAGGGTTTTCACATAAAATAACAATTAGGGTTAAGTGTTTCTCACTTAAACCATTAAGGACTCAATCCATTAAGTCCTTAACTTTACTAAATAAGTCATATGGTGTGATTGGGCTTAATACCCAATTCCATACCAATGGCCCAAATGTGGGTCCCGATAAGTCCATGCTCATAATCTCAAAATTAAAGTTTTCACATGAAATGATGATTAAGGTTCAGTGTTTCTTACTTAACCCATTAAGGACTTAATCCATTAAGTCCATTATGCATTAAGCTAGTTTGCCAATGATTATTAATTATTATTTTAGATTTAATAATTAATTCTCGTGTGTGTCCCAAGCAATTTCCACAATTAAGGTTTTATGCCCTTACGATTTTCCAACTCAATACTAGCTCATTAGTCCATTGGTTGGGCTTTTAGGTCACATTGGGCCTTATTGGCCTATTAGGGTTCCTTTGGGCCCACTAGGGTTTCATTGATTCCACATTATCCAAACATCCCCTAAATGAGATCCAAACACAATCAAGCACACCGCCATCCGGCACGACGGCTGGAGGCGGCAACCACCACTTTACAGTGATAGTTAGGT